TCATCCCACCTCCTCCTCATCCCACCTCCTCCTCATCCCACTTCCTCCTCATCCCACCTCCTCCTCATCATAGCGCCTCCTCATCCCACCTCCTCCTCATCCCACCTCCTCCTCGTCCCACCTCCTCCTCATCCCACCCCATCTTATCCCACCGTCATCCCCCTCTCAAGTGACATTGACTCTCGAAACTAACAGATTGACTAGTCTCATTTACTCAGTAAAGGTTTTTAATTCTTGTGTTATTAGGTYGAGAGTGATACTACGGTCGACCAACTCATTTCCAATCACTCCGCGCAATACAACATCTGGCTCAACCGATCCAGCGGTGTTGCGCTCAAAGTAAGAATCGTCAATGCTGACTTCAGCACTACGTATCGCCAAGTAGACCATCCAAACAATGACAATGACATGCTCCCCTCTAAAGACAAAACCATTAAAACATTAGTCCAGGATAATTTCTSTAAAGCTCCAGTTCCTGACTATTACAAAGTTCAAATTGAAGAGTACCAAAATCTAGATGTTGTTAAAGAAGATCATAGTAAAATCTGTCCTAACTACACTAGAGAAGGAGTTCACTCATTCAAGCCAACGCAAGGGAGAGATCTTTACTGTACTGGGGTGAATAMTTCAATGGTTGAGATTTTCGGTAATCGCATTTCCAGTCATTTATCTTGGAAAGAGGAGAAGGAGAGAGATTGCTATATCARCAAGATAAAATGCGGTGAATGCAGGGATAATTGTTCGAAAGGGGCCTTTAAGATCCCTGAATGCGACATCAAGAAGGATAAAAAAAACGCGAACTTTGGAGAGCATTTTTCGTACTGCTTCGATTGTTGTTTCGTTRGATGTACTTGCCCAAGTTGTGTTTGCGGAAAATACGAAAGAAACTGTGTCCGAGAACAGCTCACATGTGTTCGAGTAAAGCAGTATAAATTATCACTTGAACCCACGTTCCCCTCGGGCGGGAACTTTAGCTGTCAYGTGGAGGCGTCACGTGGTCCTGAAATTGCCATAGAAACATCTTTGTGGCGTCATGGMAATCGAGTCTACGCATTAACAACCAACAGTTATAACCTTACTAAACAATCAACAAGACAAACTGTCCATGACTTTGGCTATATGACAGTTCGCCATCCACCAATCCTGCAAAGCATGCCTGGGAAAAATATCTTGGTCAGTGGTAACGTTCACAAGAAGAAGTTTAATGTTGGTGTGTTTTTTAATGAGGATGATGTCACTAATACGGTTGCTATGGGTGCGGAAAGAACCAAGATTCATATTCAGCCAAGAGTGCCTTTTGGGATAAATAGTAAGACATGGCCCAAAAGAAATTGCAACGATAAAAGTAGCATTAACTTAGTTGTTGTTAAAGATCAACCAAGACATACAAACTTCAAAAAGCTTGAAAATCTCACAGCAGAGATTGATCAACAAGGCAAAGACTTGTTTTACAAACTTTATGATAACAAACTGACGCGGAAGTTAAGTTTTGAAGTCTCTCAAAATCGTTCAATTCTGCGTAACATTTTCCCCAAGACTGCTATCGTCAATGATCGCACKCTGGTCGGAGACCTCTACAGAAACCGAACCTTCTGGACGCTTCGGTTTACCGGTCGCATAAAGGAGTGTCCAGGGGCGTTCAATGTCAGAATCTATGACCAAGATATGCCGAACGTGGAAGTGTATAATTATGATATAGGTAAGTAACGTGCTCGCACATTTTCTATTTTGTCAATACAATAGGATACCATGAGGCGCGAAAGAGCTGTTTCATTGGAGCGGGCGGCGGCGGGAAGGAGGCTAGACTACCTCCAAAGCAATGCTTACTGATTAATACTTTGCGTAGTCTCACTTCTTAGGGGAATAAGCGTAGACTTTGCTTTTCCAAGTATTTTCTCGTCTGTTGTTTTGATATTGATTTAGCGTTTTTCATTCCCTGACAGCTGTGACACGAATGGACTGCAAGTTCTTGTTGGAATTCCACTTGCCTTCTGGTGGTGACACAAACCTTATCGACAAACAGTTCCTCATCAAGTTTACCGATTCGTACAAGAAAATTCAACTCGCTCTAGTCAGCCCACGGTACGTTCCAAACTTCAACATCCGAATCCTCGAAAATAAACCAGATATAAACCACATTCTGAAGGTTCTACTTCCGGCTGTCTATGCGCTAGGAGTAGCTCTTGTATTACTCCTTTGTCTTCTTGTGTTTGGCTACAAGACGAGGCCAAAAGACAAGATGCACCGCGACCGTGACAGCAAGCTTCATTTTCGACATATTCTTTTTGTAGTTTGGTTCGTTGGAATGCGATTTATCAAAAGCTTCCTATTGACCTTTTCGTTATTTTTCATTCTCTTATCCACCATCCACCACAGTAATATTAACACTCTTCGTCGCTACCCTGAATTTCGGGACCAAAGGCAACGGATCGATAAAGACCTCATGTCGATTATAGATCAGCATAAGGTACAAGAGATCAACCGGCAGCTTGGTCTCCTCAACGAAGGRAAGAAAACTTGCGACAAGAAGCTTAGAGAAGCTGATGCTCTGATAGACGCGTATTTTGATGAAATGAGAAGAAGGTTAATGGAGGACATGAAACAAAAATCTGTCATCTACGCGGCTTATAAAAACATGGAAAAAAAGGTGAAGTCGGCAAAGAAACAGTTCGACAATAAGAGGGAAGATTTCAATCGAGCTTTGAGAACGGCGACAAACGAGATTAACTATAGGATTCAGAGCTTGCGAGGAAAAATTGAGAGTAACTTCTGGCTCGGTGCTGCAAAAGTTATGCATAGTTTTGTCCAATCTGCAGCGAATTTGTTTGGGCATAGAATCGAACCGTTCATGAACTGGGTTGATCTAGACGTTAGTTTTCCTTCTATTAGCTTCAGCCTCGGGTCCTTCGATGTCTACTTCGATGATTTTGCTACAAAATTCAAGAAACCTGATTTGGGACTTTCTTTGAAATTCAATGCTAGCAGGTGGCAAGGTAGTTTCCCAACTCCTGACCTGTCTCTAAATTTAAAAGAGTTACGACTACCACCGCTGAATATTTCTAGTCCAGTGTCTAATAGAAGAGTCAAGGAACTTCTAGCACTTGACTGGATTGTCGCTTTATTGCGAAGTGGAGTTTTGGCGGGAATTTTGTTGGCGCTTGATGTCACGTGGTTTGTGTACCGTCACAGCAGGACTTACCAGTCAGCGGTTGTTCTCTTGCACGGTTTTCCTGTTGTTTATGAGTTGAAAGACGTGAAGAAAGAGAAAGAAAAACTCCTGAAAAAGGCTTCAATCGACGATCTAAGYAATTACGGTACACTCCGTAGTGAAACTGAGATGAGCCAAGCGTCAAGTGAAAATAGCGAGAATTCATCAAAAATTACAAGATATAAAAACAAGCTACATAAGTACAAACAAGACGAGGTACAAAAATCCCAAGAAAGTTTGAATCGAATAAATGAAAGTAAAATAAACCTGGATGAAGAGGAGGAGAAACAAGAAGACATAGCTGATGGCTACCATGACAACGAAGTATCAGTTTCAAGCAAAATGCCCAAATATGGTATGATGGTTATTGACTACCTCAATGGGTGGTTATTCTTCGTCTATGGAATACTGAAAAAGATCAATTACGAGGTAAGCCACATTGTATATAGAGCAAATTCCGTATGACGTGGCGTGCGGTGTAATGCGAGCAGAGGTGGATGATGTTCCTATTTCATTCCTTCTCCTTTCMCTTTTTTTTTTTTTTTTCATATTTCTTTTTATTGTTCTTAATCCTAGGTCACAAAGACAAACTTAGTCCCTTTAGCCGTATTGGGTGTCATGGGTCTTCTGTTAATCTACGTTGTCATAGTAACGGCCAAATACACGCTGACAGTCGACACGCTTGATGAAGTTGGATACTTTGATATCAAGATGGCGCCAATATTGGTTACTAGAAAAATAGTCAACACTCGTATAACTTCCAGTGCTTTTATGATCAACCAAATACAAATACCGTATTACCAAAACAGGTATGTCAAATCGTTCTTTCTTTTTTTTTAAGGTAGATTTTGAGTTCTGCAAACATTTTGCATTCTGGTCTACCTTGGGGGAAAATAACACCATACAATGAATCATCAACAAAATATATATGTTCCTCGTTTTCCCTTGGAATTTATGTTTTAAAATCTCCCGCAAAGGGTTTGTGTTAGTAGTAAAAAGAATATATATATATATATTCTTTTCTTACAGAGTCAATGCGAGAATCGCATTTGCCAAGAAGAAAGCTGCTTTCTTCAAAGGTTTTCAGTGTACAACCGCTGATCTGCATAACAAGGAGTACTGCTTCTGGGTTGACGGGCAGTGTGATGGGGTTAAGAGCTACACTGATGATTTCCTTAAGAATTTAACACGACTAGAATGTCATGTTCCTTCTGTTATTCCACGAAGGTAGGTCAAGTACATCGAAAGGGAAAAGTCTTTTGCATTCACTTCTCAAGATCATCTCGAATGCGAGGCAAAAATAGAATTAAAAAGAAAATGGCACAACCCGCTTATGACGATGCGTACGAAACCCGTCAGTGACCATCGTTGAGAGGAAGCTTAGCAGCACACACCTTCTTGGGGCATTGGGGCGTGGYGTTGGGGCGTTTCTTTCTTTCGTCTTATTTCCTTAAGGGCCACCTGAGAGGCTATATTGGACTACTTCGACGATACGGCGTCCATCTTGCCAGGTGGCAAAACAAAAGAAAGATGGAGGAAATAGGACTATATATATATAGTTTCGTGTGTTTGTATTTCTCTTATAGGTATAGGGGATCTATGTGGTGTAATAATTAATCTTTTGTTGTATTCTCTTGTGGTTAGCTGCTAATATCAATCGACGTCATTACCGCAACAAAGYTTTATTTGCCCCCTGGACGCCTCATAAAGCCTTGCAATCCAAGATGGCCGCCGTATCGTCAAAGTAATCCATTGATGGAAATACAAATAACCCGGCTAACTTTTGGGGTTTTTTTCGCACAGGTTCACAAAGTTTGACCGGTTCATCTACAAACAACAGCTCAAGAAAGGATACCAGCCGTTCGTGACTGCCACACGAGGATTAATCCTTAACACCTTTTACACGGCTCTCATAATTTTGGGAATTTTCGTATTTGTTAAGCTTTTGGGTTTACTCGTATTTCTTGTTCTACGGCGGCTTGACTTGATCCGTACCGTCAAGAACTACAAATTGGCTGAGAACCTTGGTCATGAGGAGACCCAGGAAGACGAGATAGATGGAAAACTGAAGAAGACTGGTGATTCGATAGGGCGACTGAAGGTCCCGGATGTAATTGTGAAAACTTGTGGACCAACACGTGGTCGACCTGGATGGCATTTGGAGTATAGGCCAGATAAGGCAGCTGAACTCATCTCAAAGAAAAGAGAGATGAAAGCAAGAAACGATGGAGAATCTATATAAAGGTGTGTAAATTATGATATTGGGCTTCCTGTGGCACAGAAGAGTCAGTACCTTGTTACCAAAGGTGCTGCAGTGGCACGTGTGTTTATATGATGACCTTTGTCCCCCCGAGTGGTAACGATCCGCCATTTTTAGCCACTTAGCCCATGGGCTATTATGTACGTGTGTTTCTTGTCACGGGCCTTTTTGAAGGCAGGTGTATATATTGTATATTTTATCTTAGATTTATACTTATATTAGCATTTATATTTAACTTTTACATCTTATTGTAATTTGTATTTGTCAATGCTTCTGAAAAGCCCTGTAAAGGGATGAGGTAATAAAGTATGTATGTATGTATGTRAGAGGGAGAGGATGTTGAAAATGGGAAACGCCACTTCGGGAAACGCCACCCTTTCGTTCATATTTCCATACTATGACAAAGAAATGCAAAGCTTCATTTTGAAAGTCTGCCTCCGACAGCCTATGAGTAAGCTGTATTGACCTAACTATACTTTAATCTATGGCAATCTAAACGTTTTGTATACAAGCTAGTTATTAAAATTCTGAAGCCATTTTTCAGCTCTTTGATGATTCGTAAACAAAAAAGGATAAACCATTTTGTGAAAAACAAGGTTCATTGTGTTCATTCACTTGAAGGTATTTTGTAAATGGAACTATAACAGACGCCATTTATGTTTAGTTTTAAAAGTAATATCTCACGTAGTGACCCACCTTTTCATTTTTCTGAAGTTAATGTCTAGACCTTCATTGTCGGCTAAATCGTTTTTTTACAGAAGTGCACAACCATTCCAGGCAACACTTATGCCACTAAACTCACTTAGTTTTGAAGTGATATCTCACGTAGTGACCCAGCTTTTCATCTCTTTGAAGTTGACTTCGAGACCTTTGTTATCGGCAAATGCCTTTAGCCAGCTGTTAACACTTTAGGTTACTTCTAAATGGAAGAACAATAGATGACACCAAACTCATTTAGTTTTTAAAGTGATWTCTCACGTAGTGACTCACCCAGACTCCAGCTTGAATTTGACTTCAAGACCTTCATTATCGACAAATCCCTTTTCCTAATGGAGCTCACGACTCATCCAGGTATTACTTTAGGCCACTTAAAATCTTGGTTGTAATAGTGATATCTCAATTAGTGCCTCAACTTTTAATCTCTTTGAAGTTGACTTCAAGACCCTCATTGTCGCATGCTTTTTTTGGTTTTGTCAAGAGAATAATAGGACTACAAGGCCGAGAGCCATACAGTAGCAGGATTTAAGAGGCGCTCAGGTTACGCCTTAGTATGTGAGTATAGTATAAAACACTTAATTAATAAGCCGAGCCTGGGCACCTCGTATATTTCTTTATCAAACCCTCTTCATTTATGTGTCTTTGATTGCCATGTAAAATGGCCATACATCCTGTCATTTTTTGGGTTGAGGGCCAGASGACCCAAGTTTATCATTTCTCAGTAGCTGTCAAGTATCACCTCTAAATTAAGCTATTTGTGGAAGGCAACTGTAAAAGAAGAATATAGTTTATTTTATGTTATAATTGTAGCGAGCCAGTGAACCACTTGCAAAAATGTACATGTGTAGTGACTTCACTTGAGATTCTGAAGGATGGAATATCCCCKTCCACTCAGATGGGGTCCTGATTATAAAGCGCCCACACGGGTTGTGACCCGAAAACCTATTATCTAGAGAGACAGGGTGTGGCGAGGTATGCAATCAGAGCGTATGCTTTTTAATTTGGTTTGGCTTGAAATATATGAAAAACCTTCAAATTTTTATCGAACCCTGAAACAACCTCTGGGCTGATCAAAGTCCGGGTACGACTAACTCACAGCGCGAACCCTGAAACAACCTCTGGGCTGATCAAAGTCAGGGCATGGCTAACTCACAGATGGGACCCTGAAACAACATCAGGGCGCATCTAAGTCAGTGCATGGTTAACCCACARATGGATTTTATTTTAGATTTTTGAGGGAGGAAAATGGGAGAACTTTAAGAAAAACTTTCGAATTAAGGGATATCACGTGTGATTATTTGCCATAAATAAGTCCATAAATCGAACTCGAAACGCCGCCACGATCGAGATGGCAATAAAAATGAATGTCTTCAAAAGTCTGCAAGAAAATGAATGTCTTCAAAAGTCTGCAAGAATACATCAAAGTCCACTTTCCTTGCAACTGGTTGTCTGTGGATAAAAAATGGTGTTGGCTTTTATCGATCAAAAGTGTGTAACCAGCCACTTCAAGCTTTATTCACGAGACACATGCACACGTGTGGGGTCTAGTGCTTTATTCCCATTATTTTACTCTTCAAACACTAATTGAGTTTGTCGTTTATCTTTGCCTGGCCCTATCTGTGCCACATCTTTTAGGACTTTAAAGTCTCCTTATGGCTGGTTATTGATTAGACTTTGAATTGAAACTCGCCAATTAGTCTGTCAAGCTGTGTTATTCAAAATAAATACGTTTACCATAATAGACAACTATTTGTTTGTTATAAGTGTAGCCTGTAGTTTGTTATAAGTGTAGCCTGTGTCAACAAGGAAAAGGAAAACATTTTCCCCATCAATTTTTATGGCGTGTGATGAATGATGTTCATAAGAGTGCCAGTGAAAACTGAGGAAGGCACTCGCTAGGTTGTGCAATCATTTCCCCAGGTACCGGGGGGGGGGGGGGGGGGGGGGGAGCTGATCCTATACGATACAAGCTTCATGGAGTCGTGCAAAATTTGGTATCTATTTCTAGTTGAAAATCTAGGAAGAAATCGATTTTGTCAGGTCTACTTTTTGTCTTCCTAAACTAGGGTCTTAAATCAAAGCAGGAGGACATTTCTTTCCAAAAACACGTCGAGGCCAGCCAGGATATGAATTTCTTAGCGCTTCACCCTTGACAGATTATACCCCTGCCCCCTCCCCCTGGATTCCACTTTGCACAATACGATACAACAAATATTGACATAACGAAGAAGCACTCGGATGATTTTGACACGTTYTGTTTTATATAAACCCATTCTCCTGCAATAAAGTAAACTTAAAGGTAAAGCCATTGACCTTGAATAACCAATCYTGCCTCATTTTCTTAAAAACAAATGAGGCGTAACGAGTAATCATTATTTAGTGTTTGCGTGAGCTGCTTTGTGTGAAAACAAACGCCTCAGTTGCGAAGTGAGCCAACTGTAGCAGAGGACTTCTCTTGTAGCGCGCAGCAACCGGCGCCTGAGCAAGGGATGTTTGGAGCAGAATTTCACAACTTGAGAAGACTTAACTTCAAAATGAATATTAAGTTTGGTATTTCAAATATAGATGACAAAGAAGGATCCGGACGGCGGAGATCTCGTTCTGTGTCAATAAATGGCACGCGTTCCACGTCTCCTACAGTTTCTCCTGAAAATGCCAGTGAAAGAAACTCGAACGATGAAGTATTCTTCACCGCGGATGCTGAAATCAACAGTGATGTATCTGAAAGACATAAAAAGGAAGGACGTAGTGTTTCGGTTCCAGTCTTAATAATGCCAGCACCAGAATTTTTACGCTTACAGAAACTGGATTTTGAAAGCTTTAAAGTTCATGTCGATAGCTCGAGTTTATCCAGTCTGGAAGACTTACCATCAACAGACTTGTGTTCTACAGAACTCTAGAATTGTAAGAAGGCGTTTGCTTTGGCTAACAGCAAATATAAGGGGTTCGCTTCAAAGACTTCCCTCAGCATTACAAATGCGTATTAACGAGAACTAAGCGAATTACGATGTCTAGCATCAAAGCAAGGAGACTAGCCACCTTTGTAGGTTAATATTCTACAGTATTACAAACGTGTACGGCTCTAAGAACTATTTTCCCTCTCTCTTATTAAGGCAGAAGGAGAGGAGGAGGATAAGAACCTTTGCAAAAAGTAAAACTCTGAATCAGTTTTGTTACAGGCATTAAGGGTACTGCTTAAGATAATTTACGTGAAGATTTGGATAACATTGCTCAATGGCTTCCTGGCAAACCGTCCTGACAGGCCAAAATAATACCAAGTCAATACTGTCGACTTAAAACTCTATCAAGTTTGCTTTGCACTTTGCTGTAACAATTACTTTTTKGTTTGCTTGTTTTTGTCGTATACTTGAGTTGTAATTCATTAAGTAAACAAAACTTAAAAGCAAACATACCAAAATTTATTATTAATCAATTACTTAGATTTGTACTTTGTACTTTCTGGACACTTCTGTTAACGTAATAGCATTATTATTAACAGCTCATAAAAATTATATAAATGACTATGGCAATTTGTGTTAAATAACAAAGGCATGTTTGACGTGAATAAACATAGTTACATGGGATTAGCAACGAGTACTTCAGATCTTTACATCTGATAATACCATAAACTTAACTTTTGACGAACCGGCGACTGAAAGAATCTCTAGGCTGATCTAAGTCAGGGTATGGATAACTCACAGATCCAACCCTGAAACAATGTCTGGCCTGATCTAAGTCCAGACTTCGCTAACCCACGGATCAAACCCTGAAACAACCTCTAGACCAAAGTGCAGGGCACGCGACTATCTCGCAGATCGAATTAGAATTTAGCTTGTTGGTTTTCCTTAACCACTTAAAGAAACAAATTAAGATATTTGCTATGGTAACATGGTATGTTTGAGATTGAAAGTCCAGAAAAATTTTGGAAGCAAATTTAAGTAACTATTTATTATCGCGAATCATTTCACACGGCAATTCTTGGAATACATGCAACTYATCACTACGATGGCAAAGTTTTGAGAGATTTTTCTTTCTGAGCAAAAAATATTCTTTCATAAATCTGAGTACGAATGGTTAAAAAATCCAACCGTTGATTTGTAATCTTTAGTCGGGGTATTTATAATCACAGTAGCAATAGTTCAGTAATAATCCACTTATCATTGTTCGAAAAACAAAAGAAAATTGATCCTTTGTATTATGCTTCGTTAGCTTCGTTGTATAACTTGCGTTTTWAAAAAAAATGCATAAAATATTTGTGTGTTCATCCTGAGAAGAGGGTAGCAGGGTAGCAAACTGGTCAAGCCTGTGACCGAAGAAAATTCAAAASTTTCATTTCACATCGGTTTTGGGCTTTGTACGCTTTTCCAGGAAATATTTAAAGTAGTTATRTGGATCCTGTCACGTATCTTCTCCAGACAATCCGGTCACGCTCAGGGTCACGTTGACAATCCTCAAAACTGTTATGTAACGATGTACACARGTGTGCAGTGAAATCAACATGCTGCATGAAACAGCGTTTCCCACAAATTATTCTCATTGTTTTAACAGAGAAAAAGTATTCTAATATTCTTTAGGTAATTTCAGTGACTCTTCCAATACCATCTATGAAGCTACGGTCAAATAAAATATATTCGTGTTATGCAATGCATTCCTTTAAGAAACAAACGTGCCTCTGAGGGGGAGAAGGTATATGTCAATATTTTTTCCAAYGTAGGGGAGGGGTGAGGAAACAGGCTCGCGTATTGTGCCTTTGCGCACTTTGAGCACATCGTTTTATTTAATAAAGATGAAGTGTTAAAACAGGAATGCATTTTCTACATTTCCTAGATTGAGCTCAGTCAATCCTGAGATGAATGCATGAAACAACCTCTGGGCTGATTAAAGTCAGTTCACGTTCAACTCACAGACTGAACCCTGAAATAAACAACCTATGGACTGATCTCCCGGGGGGTATTACCACCCCAACTTGGTTCGGGGTGTGCCGCCAGGATCTCAARATCCTRACCTTATCCCAGACCTAAAATTTTGATTTTACATACCCTACCCAGACWAAAACTAAGAGTTGAACCCTGGASCAAASAACCTCTGGGCTGATCAAAGTCAGCGAGCCTAACTCACAGATTGAATATGGAATTTAGTGTTTCAGTAAGTTCGTTATTTATTTCTTGTATTCTATAAATATCCAAACTTGATTAAGGTAATTAAAGAGTATTCCAGCTAGAACATAGACATATTAATTTCAAGTCGCTGATAGACATGCATGGTCTTCTCACTTTCTTCAGTATTCAAAAATAAAGCACTAGGACTCTCACACGGAAAGCTTTTTTCTATTTTTTGCTATTCTAATTTTGGTAATTCAAACAGATGGTCCATGGCCAGACTTCACTGACACGCCCTGATAGCTAGTCGTGGAAAAATGAGTCCCGCTATGCAGACAGTTGTTTGACAGGGCATCTTTTCACAGGCCCAAGAGCTTTTTATCCAAAAAAAAAAAAAATTGGGAAGGAAAGTATTATGGCATGCTTTCCTAGTTCTTGCATCGTGCTACTCAATTCCATATATTAACATATACTAGATAACCTATATAAAAAAGAATCCCGCTATGCAGACAGTTTTTTGACAGGGCATCTTTTCACAGGCCCAAGAGCTTTTTATCCCAAAAAAAAAAAAAAATTGGGAGGGAAAGCATTGTGGCATGCTTTCCTAGTTCTTGCATCGTGCTACTCAATTCCATATATTAACATATACTAGATAACCTATATAAAAAAGAATCCCGCTACGCAGACAGTTGTTTGATATGACATCTTTTCGCAAGACAAGAGTATTTTCAAAAAAGAATCCCGCTCTGATCCAGACAGTTTTTTGATAGAGCACCTCTCTTATTCCCAAGAGTATTTTTGCAGATAGAAAATTTTGCGCAAAACCAACTTCGCAAATTCTAGAGGTATTTTCAATCATTGTCGTGCTCATCTTGAAGTAAAGGGCACGTGATCAAGAGCTCGTTCCTAGATATTTTTAACGAATTATACTCTCCCCGACCTATTCTTAGATTGCGCGTTACGTCATCGCGGCCATGTTGGTGCCATTTAACAAAATATTAYATTATATATCCGTCAAAACTGAACCGTGTTGAGGTTCTCAAAGATGTTCAGCAAATCTTATGTTTTAACAAAGGCCCGCAAATGACCACATTATATGATTTAACTGAAGATCGTACCTTTTGCCTCTATAAATGAAAATTAATCAATAGTCATCCCAGTTTTTCATAATGGGGTACCAATGCGAATGGTTCCTTTATATGGGTGTTCTGCAAGCCCTACATTTTTCCAAAGGTCTGTTTTCCTTCGGCCTAACTTTCATGGTCGATAGATATGTTAAAAGCCCAAGAAACACCCTCAAATGTGTTCCGTACAGGGCCCAGTTGTTCAAAGCCCRATAAGTGCTAATCCTGGGTTAACTCTAATAAGACCTATAGAGTTAATCCTGGATTAGCGCCAATCCAGCTTTGAACAACCCGGCCCTGGGCCTTTTCTACAGGTGCTGAGTCAGTCCAGTGTTTCAACAAGGGCCCCGAAAGGACCATATATCTGTTTACTCAAGAAGTCTTTTGTACTTTTGTTCTTGACTTTCATGCATGCATGGTCAATAGATAGGCTGTATTAATCTTATTTTTAACGACCCCTTAAGGACTAATAAATCCCATGCTAAGGACATCAAATATTTCGATGAGATGCTATTT